CTTTTAAAGGGTGTTTCCCTTTCTTGTGTCTCCCTGCCTCTTTTATCTACTGGCTACCCTAAACAAATGATTAACTGCCTCCTGCCCCCTCCCCACACCCCCTTGTTCCAGGGTCCTGTACAATAGCTGAAGCAGAACGTGGCCTGGACAGTTTTGCTGTTGCCTGAGCTGAGCTGCTGTGTTTTCCTGTTGATGACAAATACAGCGGCTCCCTAACAACAGCTTCAAATGACATTAAGTGTGGGCTGTGTTAGTAACAGCCTGGAAACTCACCCTCGCCTCTCCATGCTGGAATCCCTCCACTCACTGCCCTTCCAGTTTCTCTCCTGAAGATCCACTGCGGAGCAAAAGGGTCACACTGAGTGGGTCCGAAGCTGCCCTGGGCCACTGTTGGGCTGGCAGAAATGAGCTTGGGTGTGCATGTATGGTGGGTCCGTGTGTGGGGAGGGTCATTTGCAAGGTCCAGTTGTCATCTCCTAGTTTTAGCCCGTGCCTGGGCTGCGTGTTTGAAGGTGTATGTGCTGTGTTCTTGCGTTCATGCTTAGGCCAAGAGGTACGTGCATGTCAGGGTATGTGGGCATCTGTGTGGGTGGCCACATATGGTCTCAAGCACACATAGATATATTTGAATCAAAGCACCCACGGACATGAATATGTATATATATTTATACACATTCACACAGTCACGTGTACCCACACATACACACATGTAATCACATACGTACTCATTTGTATGCATCACATACATATGCTTCTCTGTATCTGCTCTTGTACACTCTGACGTGTGCATGTGAACTCTCTGAGCAGCTGGCAGAATGGGCTCTCCGTGTCTCTAACACCCCATCTATGATCAAACGTTTGCTGCGAAGAGGCATTGCACAATGCTGCTGAAATCATTGCGGCCCTTTCTAGTCTTGCAGCTCCAATCTCTACGTGATGAGAATAAAACCTTTTGTGCAGCACAGGGCTTGACGGAGCCCTTATGTCCGTGTCTCTGCACCCAGAATAGAAAAATCCATTTCCACATCTGACTGGAACAAATCCCCCTGAACACAGCCAGAATTTCACTTAGCCACTGTGCACAGTACCCGTGGCCTCTGGGTTGCCCGGAGTCAACCGCACCATCGTTAGGAGAGGGAGAAGAATCACAAGGACAGTCAGATTAATGCTATTACCACAGAAAAAGCTGGGGATTCACCAGGAGGGAGACAGAGCTGAGGAGAGAGGCAGGGGCCAGGAGGCAGCAAGGTACCGTCCGTTATTCCAAACATCTGTTCTAAGAAAAACAGTGTTTTAATCAATGGTGATAGTTTGCAGAATTTTGTAGCATTCGTTTTGGCCTCATGAATTTTGGACAAAAAATACCTTTTCTTTTCCCTCCCCCAGTCTTATTTTTGGTTCATCTCTATTTTTTTTTCCCAGTTTGTCACTGAAAAAATAGGATGCAGCGTAGGGGGGAAAAGAAAGCACAAGACAGAAAAATATGATGCTTGTGATCCTTTTGTTTTAAACTCCTGTTTAAACTAAAGACCCCCAGTTTTTTGCAGGTCTCCCTGGAACACATTTTGTTTTCCCCAGCAGGCTCCCCTGCAGAGCTGCCTTGCTAGTGGGCTCAGACTCCACGTATCAATATGATGTCTCCTTGGCGCACTTGCTTGTTGCTGGCATTGCAGTGCTTGGGCTCTTCAGACATGTAGATATTTTAAGAAGCCAACCAGTTGGTGGAGTTTCTTGAGTGGTGACTTGCAGCAGATGGAGCTGCAAAGGCGTGCAAAATGAAGTCTCAGCTCAATTCAGTGGTGAAGGAGAGTGTCTCTGTTAAGCGTATTGGCAGCCAGGGAACTCCCCCATCTCCCCATGGCAGCTGCCCAGCCACTCTGTGGAGAAGGAAACCCTTCCTATATCTGCCCCCCACCCATCTGAGCTGCCTCCTGCAAGGTCCTCATTCACTGTCACATGCCTTCTTCAGTGCCTGGTCATCAACCACGAACAGCGCTACATGGTCCCCAGCTGATACCGTTTCTCCTCTGTCCTATAGTGATTGCTGTGCCAGTGGTACCCAGCATTCACCTTGCCCTGTTCCTCACTGCAACGGGAGCAACACAGACCCCCGTTTAAAGTGGTGTGTTGCCCATCTATCTGACCACTTGGTAGCCAGACCTTTTAACCTTCCTACTGTTTGTTGTCCCATATAGAGGCAGGAGCTTTGGCAGTTCATTCTTCTAGGATGTCTTGATTGCGCTTCATCTAATGGATGCTGTGGGAGCTTCCCAAGCAAAAAAAAAAAAAAAAAAAAGGCTTTTTTTTTAGTCCAACAGACTGTGTATCCCATGCCCATGAATAGTTTGGCTGCTTTTCTCACTGGGGCTCACAGTGTGGGCAGGTGATGCATGGATGGAAGAAGGAGACGTGAAGAGGTAGCAGAGGATAGAAACTGGCTACCAAGCACTTTCTTTTCCCCATGAGTTTACCAAGCACTTTCTTTTCCCCATGAGTTGAGCCTGCACTCCTGGGTGTCTGGCTGCCCACGCTCAGGGGAGCAAGCGCACTTTGTAAAAGGAGCTAAGCAATAGCTGTGTGGTATTGCTGGTAGCTCAGCTCCCAAGGCTGAGCCTACAGGCATGGACAGCTTGGCACCAGCGTCCCAGGCTCAAAGAGGAAACAAGAGGATGGAGGATTCATACGGACAATCTTTGTCAGGGAGGTGACAGCTGTACCAGTGGCTGAGAGCACAGCTGAATGTCTTTTGCTTGGTCATGTTTGCAGTCCCTTCCCACCCTTCCTCTACTCTCTGGCCTGGCTAGGACGTGTCTCCTCACCTGATGCCCCGCGACAGTCCTTTCCTGAACTCGGGTGCCCTGCACTGCAGTTCCCCTGATGCCTGCCAGGCCTTCACTACTTCCTACATCGCCTTTGGGTGACCTTGTCTCTTGCTTCCTCATAAAGTGGTTCTGTTCTTGTGTTCCCATCATCCTCAGCTGCTGCAGCTTGTTCTGCTTCCCAGTCCAGGGCTTTTGTCTTCTGTCCCAGCACACCTGATCCGATGCCATCCCTTCACATCTCCTGCCTTGTCTCAAGTGACTTGTGAGACATCTTTCCATCACCCAGCCCGCTCTTGTCACTGACCCTCCATGTACTGCCTCCTCCAACATCTCCTGACCTCAGGGAGGCATGTCTCCTCCTGGCAGGTTCCTCCTTCCCATTTCTCAAAATTACTTGTGGAGAAAAGTGCCCAGATATAACCAAGGGCTCTGGTGTGAGAGTCGTCTTGGTGGCTGTAGCTTAGCAACAGCATTCATGGAGAAGTTCAAGGTGTGGGGACCGATATTTAGCAGAATCTGCAGGAATGAAGCCAAAGTGGAGAGAGAGACCTTCATCCCACCCACCCTCGTACATTACTGCTCCTCTAGCCTGCACACTCAGACAGGCCCACCCACAACTTCTCTCCAAAAACCAATACACAGAAGCAAGCACTCATCCAAGACTCACAGCAACACACATACTCTCACACTCTTACCCAAGCATTCACATGTGCGCGCACATTTCCATATATACTTGCATGCCTACACAACCGTATCTACACTTAAACATCCCACAATTACATAAACACACTTCCTCATCTGTGTTTGTATACACTTATACACGTGCATACCCCCTTATGTACATTTGTACACATTTATACACACCCCATAATCACACACAGATTAGCATCAGTGCCCAACCCATGTACATCTCCCACCAGCCCTGACTGCTCGATCTCCGATTCTGTTCAGCTGTTCTCATACAGGTACACTCCAGTGATCAAACATTTGCATACAACCACCTTTGTACATATGCAGACACATCATTTCTTCTCCATCCTGAGCCAAATACTCTACCATTTCCCACAAGACAAATCAGTTCCTAGTATTGCCCAGACTCCTGCAACCATAGCTCTTTCACACTGGAGATCCCCCGACTTCCCTCTGCTCCCTGTACTGATACATGCCTTGATCTCCTGTACCAGCCAAATGTTACTCCATACAGAGATCAACTCATCTCAAAGACATTATGTATTCTCAGGAGAGCCAAATCTATAGCACCCCCTTCCCCTAAACACACAGAATGGTTCTGCCCAGGTGACCTTTTAAGTCCAAAGGTTTTTTGTTTATTTACAATAAGGCTTAGGAAGAAGAAAAGGGAAAGGGCATTTCAGCTTGTAAGAAACCCTGCCTCCAACCCATGCCTCGTTGTCTTCTTCTCTGCCCTTGTTACACCTTCCACCAGGGTGCAGAGGCACCAGAAAAACCCTGAAGAATGAGAGGTGCAGGAAAGAAATGTCCCATTTGCTCTCCCAGGTAAGTCTCATCAGCCTGCCCAGAGTCCATGAGAGCCCTGGAAAGAAAGAGGAGGCTTTGAGCAGTCAGAGTGGTCTCCAGCCACGACCAGCATGGGTAGGAAAGTTGTCCCCAAGACTTACTGGAGAGCTAGAGAAGGGTCAGCCATTCATGCAACTGGCTGGTATGTCTTTGCTGCAGACATTTTTCCTTCCTGTTTTTCTTTTAGGGTAAACCACTTCTCATGTTTATAAGGAAGATAATCAAGGCACTGGGATGTTTATTTGTTGTATATGCCATTTGAGGACTTCCTTAAGGTGCTGCAGTCAGATGGCAGCTGATGCCCTTCACAGTTGGGTGATCTACGGATGGATCATGCAATCTAGGGCTGACCTTGCACTCTCCATACTGTCAGTGCCCATCACCTCTTCAGCTCTCCCTGGATGCAATCCTTCCTTTACCTGGTACCACACAAACCTCAGGTGTCCCTTCCAAAGCCAAGAACAATGCCTTGGTTTTTCCACAAGTTCATGGAGCCCTCTTCATCTTTAAGTGGAGTCTTGCAGTTTAATATTCCCTTGTATCAATGTCTCCCATTGCCTTTGAGGTGGAAAAGCACAGAGGGTGAAAGGGATCCCATGTCCCAATGTCTCTGTTGTGCATGTCCCTGCACCATCCCTTTCATCATAAATAACTGACATGCAACTTGTTGCTCTTTTCACATCCCACAGGCTCCTCAGGGAGTGGTTTTTGCTCATTGCTTTCTCCTTCCCCACTGCTTAGAGGGTGCTCCTGCCTGTCATTACCATTCTGGGTGATCTTGCTGATCTCGCCCTCTTCCCCTTCATCATCAGTCTTCTCTGGGGGGCATGCTGGCGCCTCCTGGCTCTGGACTCGGCGGGACGGCCTGAAGATAGCCCTCCGGAAGCCCTGCTTGAAACGGTAGGAGAGGAAGCCATAGATGATAGGATTGGCACAGCTGTTGGCATATGGCAGCACCACGACGAGGAAGTAGACACCAAAGAGGGATGGCTCCTCTGGCAGTGGGCAGACGACATTGATTATGTTGAGGACGTAGAAGGGGAGCCAGCAAAGGACGAAGACAGCCACAACAGCCACCACCATGCGGGTCACTCTGCGCTCTGAAAGCTTGTGCTTGGAGGACAGAGCCCTCACCCGCCTGCCAGAGGAACGAACCTTCACAACGATAAGAAGATAGCAGAGACAAATCACCAGCAGTGGCCCAAAGAAGCCCAGGGTGGCAGTGTAAACGATGAAGCCAGCTTTCCACACCGAGGCAGGCTCTGGCCACTGGATGTGGCATGTGCTCATCCCTAAAGGGACATCTGAGAAGACAACCACGGGCAACACCACTACGGAAGACAGCACCCACACAGTTGCACTCACAGCCTTGGCCACCCGTGCTGTCCGCCATTTAGTGGACTTCCCTGGGTGGACCACGGCCAGGTAGCGATCAACACTCATCACCGTCAGGCAGAAGATGCTGGTGAACTGGTTGATGGCATCGACAGCCATCACCAGGCGGCACATGAAAGACCCAAACGGCCAGTAGGACAGGGCATTTTGTGCAGCCAGGAATGGCAGGCCCAGCATGAAGAGCTCATCAGCTAGGGCTAGGTTCAAGATGTAGACATTGGTCACCGACTCACTCACAGAGTGCCGCAGGACCACATAAATGACCAGAGAATTCCCAGCCAGCCCCACCACGCAGACAATGAGGTAGACCAGGGGTATGAGGACACCACTGACAACCACACCAGGGCTGGCGGTGGTGGAGCCGTTGGGGGTGGTGAAGCTTGCCCAGCTGCCAGAGACATTCCCCGCCTCCGACACTGCCGGCGTGGGGAGGCTGAAAGCAGAAGCGTCCATAGCAGAGGCAGGGAAGAGGGCGGGGGGCAGTGTCCTTCCAGGATCAGTTAGCAATCTGGAGGTGAGAGAAGGAAAAAAAAGCCATTGATACTAGGGACATCACAGCTGAACAAGCCACAGATAAAATCGCCACATTAACTATGTGTACATATGGACAGGCATGGGAAGTAGAGGTGAGTTTGTGGATGCTGGCAGCCGCTGGAAGATGTAGGACAATATCGACCCCATCTGGTCCTGGGAGGCACAGTGGGCATGGAGGGACAAACAGGGACATGGCTCCTCACGCCTAAGGAAAGATCCTCTGGGGAAAGAACCACAGCCTAGGATAGGGACAGGGAAATTTCTCATTTTCTGCTAATGGCACCAATACTGAGGACATAGTCACCACTGGCCTGATTCTCATTTATGAGTGGCAGGTGCCTTATGAACAAAAGAAGGAAGAGCATCCAGTGACAAAGTGCTGTTCCAACTCTTGCTCCGCCATTCACTGAGTATCCTCCTGCTTCCTGAAGCTCTTTTTGGACTGACCAGGTTATTGTGGGGTTGTTACCTCCACCAGCAGAAATGAAAGCACCTCCACTCCCAATCCAAGACAAGAGGCTGAGCTCAGCACCTGCGCTGGAGGGTAGCTGGTTTGTGTTATGCCAATTTGAGAGTAAAGGAAGAGCCAGATTATTTTGGGTACACCAAGAGGGATCGGTCCAGATCTCTCTGGTCTCTTTCTCTCTTGTTTTCTTTCTCTCTCCTTCTGCACCCTGCAACACACTGCTGATGGAAGAGTCTCTGCCTGCCCCAGCTGTTTGCAACACCAAAGCAGTGTCCCAGCCTTCCTAATCTGAGGTGCCCAATTGCCCATCACATCAGGGTTCGGCATGGAAACAGCACTCAGCTCACTCAGAGACAGCCTTGAACAAACAAGCTCTCCACTCGCCACCAGCTCTCTGCTGACATTGGGAGAGAAGCTGCAGGGAGAGAAGAGACAGATAAGGGAAGGACGTGCCTTTTGTCTTTTGCCAGGGCTCCAGATATGTGAGATACAGAGCACAGCACATACTTCAGACCAGAGATACCCTGGCAGACCTTATGCAGGGGGAGATTTGTGATGCTTTCAGGATCATTCTGGCTCTGGCAAAATTTTCTGGAGGCGTGGACTGGCAGGGTCATCCTCTTGACGAACTAGCTCCTTGGAAGGAAGGATGACTTGGTGGAAGAGAACAGGAACCCAGAGGCTCACCCTTACCCCTCCTAACAGATCTCTCAGGGCTCTGAAGCTCCTTTGTTATTGAAACAAAAACTGGGGATCTCAAAGGAAAGGACTCCCCATATTAACTACTTTCAGGAGGCCAGAAACCCTCCAGAGACAGTTGGGATTCCAACTCCCAGTTGGGATTCTCTGTAGCATCACAACTTTCTTCACAAATGTCTTAATATTACAGCTTTTATTCTTTTTTGTAGATGTCATTCCAGCTTCTGGAAACCTTAGGGGAGACCTGAGCTTTAGATGGATTCCTTGGATATCACATAGGCAAACCCAACAGACTCCGCAGATGTATCAAATCTTATGCTGAAAGAACCTCATCTGATAGGCCCCATAAAAACTCAATTGGGCAACTATGTCTTAAGGCCATTTCTACAGTCTATTGCATAAATGTTTCCTGCTATACTTAAATGAGCTTTGAAGGACTGAAATTGTTTAGACTTTCTTTATTTACAGGTGCCTTGGGCTGTGACACACTGTCCTGATAGAAGCCTGTGTCTTGGGGTCCTGCAGTACTGGGTTGTCCCACACATCATGAGTGGTTGCAATGAATGAGCAGAGTAGGAAGTGATTTGAAACTATTTCTAAGCTCAAGGATCTTTCCTCTGATAGTTTTTTCCAGTGCTGTTCCACTGATGCAAGTCACTTGTTGGAGAAAAGGGGAGGGCAGTGGCTGCTCTGGGCACAAAGATCCCTGCAAAGCACGGCAAAGACCAGAACAGTATGTTCATGAAAAGATGATCCTCTAAAAGGTGGGGACGTAGTTAGGAATCCGTTTGGATGTTCCTCCTGCGTGTAAAGGAATGTCCAAAAAAAGCATTTGGAGACAGAGCCCTACAAATGTCAAATATGGATGGGGACAGTCGTGATAGGGCTTAAGAGCATTTAGGGAAGTGCCTAGCGTCCAGACCTCAAAGCTGATTGCTCAGGCTGTGGTTTAGCAATACAGTAAACCCAGCTTCAGGGCTCCAAAAGCCCTATCAAAAATCCTAAGCCATGCAACACAGAGCACTGATCACTCACATAACCTCATTCTCCTGCTCAGACAGCTGCAGTGGAGAAATTTTGTCTTTAAGCAGGCATGGTCTGCCTGTGCCATTCTAACTTTGTTAAGTGTCATCTACCAGCTCAAATGCCATATCACACATTCTGGCTAGTTTGACAGAACAACCACTGGACACCAGTGCCTCATCTGGGTTGGATCCACTCTGCTGGCTGCTTTGGCAGCACCCACATAGGTAGGAATTGATGAGGAGCCTTGGTCTCAGACTGATAGTGTGTTGGCATCTGCTAGGGGTCTGTCCCTGAGATGGATAGCACCTGTTGCAAGAGGCTTGGGATCCCGTAACAGGTGCTGCCAGAAGATACCTGGTCCATACATCTGGAGAGCAGGAGGAAGGCAGAGAGGTAGGAAGAGATGGTAAATTGGTGCTACTGCCTTCTTTAGGAAAAAAAAAAAACCACCAAACATGTATTTCTGCATTCAGTGACAGGAGGAGGTGGATGCTGAAAGCTGAGCCTAGACCTGGTTACAAAACAGGAATAGAAGCTGGGAGGGACCACAGAGTCCAATAACCTGCAGACCCTCTGGCCACCCTCCCCTCCTGTCCACCTTGTTTCCCATAGCCCTGCTCCAGCTCAGGATTCCCCCTGCTTCACCTCGGGGCTGAGCTCTCTGGTAGGGACCAGGCTGGGCTGGCAGAGTTGGGGGGTCGGGGTGGGGTCATCAGGTTTCCTTCTCTGGGGCTCAGAGCCGCCTGGTACTTACGTGTCATTGGGATGTACATTTTCCTCTGCTTCACCGGGAGAATCCGTGTCATGTTTTTCCCCTTTCTTAAAAGCAATTGAGCAAAGCTGTCCCAGGAGGGAGCGAGTCCCCCCATGCACTACCGGAGACGCAAGTCCTTCTTTCTGGACCTGCCCATCGCCCCCTCCGTGACTGGTGTGGGACTGGGGCCCACGCCCGCGCCCACTGGTGGCCGGCCGGCCGGGCTGGCCTCCCTCCGGGGATGCGCGGTCCCTCACCCTGACGCCGGCCGGTCTCTCCCCCGCTGTCCCCTCGCCATCTGCGGGAGAGGGGGCTCGTCTGCCGGGCTCGGGCAGCCGGAGCGGAGCGGCGGGGAGCCGGGGGCGGGGGGCGGGGGGCCAACGGGGCCCCGGCGG